TGGAGAAAAAAGATTCATGTAGCCGACCCCACGTAGTGGGATAAAGGCTTGATGTTGTTGTTGTTGTTGTTGTAGGCCATCAACCATAAAACTCAAATTTTACTTCAAAATATAGTAACTCGTTTTCAATCAAATTTCATTTTCTAACATAAAAAAAAAAATTGTGTATATTCTTTGTTATACTTTATTTAACCTAATTTTCGGATTTAAAAAAAAAATGCGTGTAGACAGTGCAATGCTACTAACGCTAATGGCATTTTTTTTTTTGGCGATCGGCTGGAGCAATATTAATGACAGACTCCAAACGGTATTAAGCGTTCGATTGGAGATGACCTTAGCCGTCACCAACTTGATTTTTTTTCCCAATTATCTATATAACACATTAATATTATATAGTAATAAAACTATCATTCAGCTATCTTAATGTACATGACTTGTATCCACGTAGGAGAAGGCCCCCATACAACTCCTAGCAAGCTTGATTGACGAAATTAAGATTTGAGTCAACAGTACAACTCGATTGATCGGCATATTCAGATTCCATATAGAACTAATATATATCAAGTTTCAAAATTTAAATTATGAAAAAAAATCATAACTTTGATAATCATTTTCCAATTTTTAAGTAAATAAATTAGCTTACACCAGTTTTTTTTTTTTTTTTTTTTTTCATCTTTTCTTTTTGTCTAATAAATAGTTTTGACATGTTCTTTTTAGCCCACACCCGATTATCCGAAACGTACGTGGCCCATGTTTTTCCTCTTACGTTTCAGAACATCTCTTGTAGCCATTGGAGCTCGAAAGATGAATCCTAAAGATATTATAGGCTTGCAATAGACAGCGGCCATACTATTTCTTTGACTAATGTTATATTTCAATAGCGAAATAGACTAATATTGTTTTACATTTATCTCACACCACTGTAAGATATTTGAATATATATTTAATATTTAATTTAACAGCTTAACGTGCTATGAGTTTATTTTGATCATTGAGTTCAAAATAAGATAACAAGTTGTTTCATAGAAAAACAAACGATTTTGATTTATTAGTAAGCTGATTAATTTCTATGTAGATCTATTTATATTTTACTGAAATAAATTTTGTCCAAAGTATTCGGGCTCGAGGTTGGGCTCATGAGTCGAGCTCGAATTAGACTTGACCGAAGCTCTACTCGACTCATTTTTGCATCCCTACTTATTTCCAAGTCAAATTTTTCTATAAGCTTGCATTCTATTGAGCCGATGTTAGTTGTCTTGGGTGGATTAAGGCTTCGTTTGGGACGGCTTTCTTATGTTTCTTTAAGCAGTTTTTTAGCATAAAAATTTTAATTTATAAACTAGAAAACTATTTTAAGAAGTAATAAGGAAGCAGTCCAAAATTTGAATTTTCTAATCTGTGGATCCAGTTGCTTTCGTTCTACTGAGCCGCTGGTGACCCCATTGGGCCGTGTATTGATTTTCTGCCTGCGTTGAAAACTGGGCCTTGCTAAATTGGATTTGTGTATTCTCCCAGCCCAAAGCACTTCACGAATGCCATTGCTTTCAAAAAGAGCTCACCGGCGTCATATTTTCCTACAATAAAAGAGCATGCGGAGTTGTGTGCGCCATGCACCCTAGCATTTCTTGTCAGGTTTGCCTGTCTTTTTTTTTTCTTTCTTTTTAATATTTTGCGTAGCTTATTTATGAGGCATGTTCCTCAATTCTTATTGAGACACTTGATCTCACCATCCAAAATCTTCATAGAAATTTTGGATTATTAGTGGTCTCTGGATTGTTTAAGATGTTCTATACTCTTCATAACACCAAAGCATCATATGAGTTTTTCGTAGATTATTGTTCTCTCTCTCTCTCTCTCTCTCTCTCTCTCTCTCTCTCTCTACCATTTCTTTGTATTATTTCTTCCTTTTATATCAAGCTTAGAATGTTTGATGTCTTATTGAGAACAAATTCATTCTCTTCCTAAAATCAACATGTTGACAATGTGTCATCCTAGATCAATAGCATTAAAATATATAAAAGAATAAATGAAAATAATATATAAAAGAAAGAAGAAGTTGACTCTTCAAAGTGGGTACAATAACAACAACATCAAGCATTTTATGAAATTTATACCACTATGTTGGGTGGACTGCATGAATTATTTTTATCTCATAACAGAAGCATCAGTTGAAATTGCCCCAAAGCACTTTCTCTCTCTTCTCTCCTCCTCTCCTCTCCCCCATTTCTTCTCCTCCTTTCTTTCCTTCCCGGCCAAACAATGTAATTGAGGGTAAGAAATGGTGACAGTTGACAATTAACATTAAATATATATAAAAAATTATTTTAGATCTTAGCACCATGTCACCCATATATATATATCTAGCACAACATCGTAGCATTGCCACAATGACACCTCAACACCGCAATACCAAACTTTGTTTCTAAAATTCTAGAGAGCTCAATGTCTCAACACTTCAATTCATTGTTAGCCTTATTGGCCAAAAATTAGGTCATTCCAACGAGCAATTGCAATTGATCCCACTTAATCAAATTATGTTTTTTTAGATATCTTAATAATGTAATGACACTACCAAAAATTATGTCCATCGCAGCACAATTTTTGGCCTATCCCCGCGGTTATAACTGCTACAATTTTCTTTGCAGCGGTTTTAAAACTGCTGGACCTCCGCTGTAATTGTAATGCTCTACAACGACATTCCGCAGCGATTTAAGGACCGGTAGGATAGATCTGATATCATAATTGATATATCCTAGGGTTGTTGGATTTGTCCTATTGAGATGCTTATTTCGATTATAAGCACGTAATATTTGATCACGTAAATGGCATTGTGAACTTTTCAATTATGCTTCAGAGCACTAGATCGATTTAGGTTCATTTGAACATGAATTGAGTTGTTCGTAGTTTTGTTAAGTTCATTTTATCAAAATATTATTTTTAACAATATATAAGTTTACTAATAATGAAATTTGTGTAGTTCTACAGTTAAATATGAAAGTTTATTATTTAAATATTTAAGCATTTTGAGATCTAACAATTATATCAAGATCCTTATATACGTGATTAAATCACATATGATATATTTTTAAATAATTTTAAAATTAAAATATATCCATAAAAATATACTAACAATTAATATTCTGATTCATCACAATATTTATGTATAATAATTTAAACATTTCATATAATTTTCATGAAATAAAGGTGTGATTAATTTATATTTGAATGGATCTTAGTAGAAATATTCCATTCATTAACAAAACATCCACATAGATTAAGCCAATCTAATAATCTATGCCAATACTAACCTAATTGTCTAGTATTGATAAAAAATAATTAGCCTGATTTAACTTGGCACTTGGACCATCTCTTTTTCAAAGGTGCACACCACCCCTCATGTGTTCAGTTCATAGAGCTGTAACCCTTGGGGTAGCTTTAGAGGTTATATAGCTCATTTATTTAGAAAATAGAAACAAATCATATAAAATATCTATGATAAAAATATTAATTTTTTTATACTTATTAAATGTCTTTTATTTTTCTAAGTTTAAACTTGTATTTCATAATTCGGTTTATTTCATAGTTTTTATTTTTTAACAAAGTAGTTTATAATATTTTAATAAGACATTCATTGCTCATTTAGCAAATTATAATATAATTTTTGAGTAAAAATACAACATCCCACAAATAACATTAATACACTAGCCGTGCGGACTAACGGTGGGCTTGTGTTGACCAGTTGAGCGGATTGGCGCTTGGCTGTGGACACTGCTCTTAGTGTCGACAGCGAAACAACACGGTTGTAACGTCGTTGAAGGATGTGTTGGACGACGGACCGGTGCGCGGGACGGTGAGGCGAGGCAGAGCTGATAACCGCAGTCACTCGATCAATAATTTTTATTACGTCCGGTGTCCTGATGTAGCTCTACGTTCGGACGCCAATAACATGTAGCCGACGACCCAACTCAGACAGGAACCCGATATTGCTATGTTCTTGTATTGCTAGGTATTGCTCGATATTGCTATATATTGATCTTGGCATAATGATATTTCTCGTTACCGAGCAATATATCGGTTTGCACAAATCAGCAAATACATAGCAATGCCGGGTCCGTATCCGGGTCGGGTCGTCGGGCCGCGCGGTAAAGAGTATGAGCAGGTGGCATCATTTTACCGACGTCCGAAAGTAGAGCTATGTCAGGACACCGGACGTAATAAAAATTCCTCGATCAGGACGTTATGCAGGCAAACATACCAGCACGGATATGGACGAGACAACATGCATTTGACACATACGAGAATCGACGCGGACAAGCACTCGATGCAAACGTTTTTCCCAAGTTAACCCAGGTTGAGTTCGGGTTATTAGGTCAACCCAAACCTGACATGTTTTTTCAAACATGTCGAATCTGAGAACCTAAACCCAACCCGTTTTTTCAAACGGGTCAAATCTGGGAACCTGAACCCTACCAATTTTAAAATTGGGTTGAGTTTCAGTCATAGTTTAATGTCGTGTCAGATATTGACACCCCTAATTACATATACTTGACAATTAGAGATGACCCTCATCTCATAATGAAGATAGTGCATATGATTTTAGGGTGATTTTTGCTTATTCTAGTATTTCTTTAGAAATGTCCCGCCTCTATTTGTTTTTATTTTTTTATAACTTTGTGGTTTGAGCTTTGCTACTTTTTTTATTTGCAAAGTTTCCATTTGTGTATTTTGCAATTAAACCTATAGTTAATAGAACCGGACTACACCTCTGAATTAAAAAAATAAATAAATTCCCACAAATTAGACTTATTTACATCTTTAATTATGATTATGACGAAACAACAAATACTTTTCTAATTTTTTTATTAGAAAAATTTTCCGCGCCCGTAATTCTAAACGACAATTCGCCGTTGTAAACGAAATATCTGCTGTAGATCCGTCATACTCTCCACGCCGATAAATAGACGATAAATCGGTGCCGGAGCCGATACGTTACCAATATCCGGCATTCCTACCTATTTATGGAGACAGTCACCAACCCTCTGTTTCTCTTCTCTAGCGCAGCCTCGAGCTCTGTGGTTCCTCTCATTCTCAGTTCCTACGCGTTAGGTGTCTGCTTTCCAATTTTTCTTGATTTCTTGTTGCATTTCGTCGATCTTGCTCTGAACTTTTCCTTGTCAGGAACGATAGGATCCGCGAGAGTTAGGGGCTCTTTTTTAGAATCTTTTTGACAAGTCTTGATATATTAAATCATCATCCACGGCGAGGAGCATGATCAACGGAGCTATGAATCTGAGCGAAAAGGTGGAGCCGCTACCGGAGGAATTCGATCCCAAGGAGATCGTCCCTCCCGTGGCACTGGAGTTAAGTGGAGTTTTGAAAGAGTGCACCAATAAGAGCAGGGAGATCGTTCTTGGGAGAAATGTTCACACAATGTGCTACACGATCAATGAGCCGGAAGCGGACGATGATATTACCGGGGAAAGGGAAGCCTACATGGCCAGCGTCCTGGCAAGATATCGTAAATCTCTTATTGAAAGGACCAAGCATCATTTAGGTATGCATTTTCATCTATTTCAATCAGATAATGCTCAAGCAAGTATTGTTTATTAATATGTATGCCGCGGCCTTTGCGGATAATATGTCAGTAAGCTTGGTGATTAAGTTTAGAAGCCAGAAAAATGAATTCTTGGATTGGATAATAACTTAGACCGATATCTAGCATGATTAGGCAGTGTCAACCTAAAATAATATTTAATTATATTTTTTAAATAGTAACCTTTAAGTTTATTTTGTTTATAAAAATTCTATCCACTACTCCATGTTGTTCGGGACTTCTTAAACAGCGAAAGCGAATAAAGCTTGAGGCAAGCTCACAATTCCCTTACTTCATGGTTGTAGGAAGACTGTCTAGTCACAATGAGTTCTCTGGTTACCTCGAAAGCCAGTTAAATGGGTTTGGTGAACTTATTTAAGGTTAAATTATGGCAATGAAGGTTGACTAAGGGCTGATTTGGTTCGTACATGGGAAAAATGTTTTGAAAGTGATGATTTTGTTTTTATTTTGAGTGTAAAAAAATAAATCCTCAATTTTGAGGAATTTTAAAGGTGTTTTTTTTTAACTTCAAAAGACATATTGGCTTTTAATTACATACAATCAAAAGATGGAATGGAAATAATTTTTTCTCGAACATGTTTACCAGCTTCAAGCAACCAAATGATCCCCAAGTGGCATGCTAGCAAGAAGATACAAATTGAGATGGTGCACTTGAATTATTAAGCTTAGCAATATGAAATTTTAGTTGGCATGAAATTAATACTTAGGACTTAATATTATTAGAAGATAGAATCTTGTTCTAATATGATAGTTTTAAGTATCTTAAATCTACTATAAAAAAAGAATGAGAATATGGATGAATATGATTTACAGATTTAAACATGTGTGGTTAACATGGAGAAGTTGATGCAACAACACAAAAACCAAAGATAATGTTGAAAATTAAGGTAATGCGAGATTTTGGGCTGTTCTTTATGCACAACTCTCCAAGCGAGTACATGGATGACCTGTCACCCTTCCAAAATTATTGAGGAATAATTAAAAGCTTAATGTGAGGTCCCTTGATGGTTAGGTTGGCCACAACAATCATGTAGGTGAAGATCTTCAAGGATCATTTGATTTCAAGGCCACTCCCACATGCCTTATTTGGCTTGTCTTAATTTTCATGTTTTAGAAGCTTAAAATTTTGTAATATTTTACCTATTTTATTTTTCATAGCATTAAGACAAATCATCAATCTTGTTGCGAACTAGAATATACGCGGTGGTAGAGTTAAGAAATTTTCGTCTTAGCGTTGTACAGATATCTAACACACAAACAGAGAATGAACAATAACACAAGAATTTTTACGTGGACACCTTGAAAGGGGAAAAATCACGGGGCCTCGTCCAGTTGAAATAGTTCCACTAGTGTTTTATTTGAAATACACTTTGTGGACGATCAGATTACAATGAATCTCTTCTAAGTTGAGATTTAATTACAAAGTTGAGCAGAGTGCCGACGTCACTAAGGAGATTGGGCAGAATTTAAGTGTCGTCCGAAAGTTGGACTGAATTCCAGCGTCGAACAGAACTTTGATGTTGCTTAGGAAGAATTCTGGCGTAGCCCGGATGTCCGACCGAATTCCGGCATTACTCAGGCGGCGGGAAGAACTCCGGCAGTGGTCGAGGAGGAGTTATTCCCTCCTATCCTTCTCTTCTCTCTTCTCTTCTTCTTTTCTCTTTCTTGCTTCTTCTTGCTTGGGGTCCACTCTCATGAGAAATGAGGGGTCTATTTATAAATTTTATGGAGTGGCATAGCTTGTAAATAGGTGTGAGATCAATGGAAAATAGGGAGTGGTCGAATGGACGGTTGATATTGAATCCCTTGATCGTGCACCGTTCGTCAGACATTTGAAGGTCTTAATGATGTCGGAATTCGACGATCTTAGGCTCGTTTGATTCGTCTCGTCGAGCCGTTCGATTCGACTATAAGCTCGTCAAAATCGGAGACCGTTTGGTAACTCAAATTGCGGTATGAACTTTCCAACAACACTTTTGGGTGCTTGATTTGGGCTCTTTTGGGTTCGGATTGAGTTGAATTTGGTGTCGTTGGGTTCGTGTTTCCGATACGCTCAGTTCGACTTTAAGTTTGCTGAAATCGGAGTTTAGGTGACCCCAGATTTAATTTTTGAAGTTTCCGGGTTGATTTTGCCTTGAGATTCGTGCTCGATCAAGATAATTTTTTGATGATATATCAAATCTATATAATAGAATTTTATTGGCTCTTAAGACTTCTTCAAACTTGACTAGGCTTGAAAAAAATTTATAAATAGAATCTTACTTTGTATGTTTTATTTTATTTAATAAAATTACTTTATATTTTTGCAAATTTAGTGTGGAAAGATTTAGTGGAAGCTCCACTTTTTGGCAAAGCTTGCTAGCTTGTTTTCTAAAGCGTTTGTGAGTTCTTAGTTATCCTTTGCCCCTCATAGTCCTCTCTCCTAACAAAATTCCCACTTTACATGAGGCTCAACCAACCCAAAGATACATCCAACCTATTCAAAATTGTCATACACATTCCCTTATCATCACTATAAACTTCTTTAATCCTCAAATTGCCATTAACGTCAAGACATCCTAGCCAAAAAAGTCAATACATAGAGGCAATTTCTTGCTGCGAGTATATATAAAATCCTTAACCATCAATAAAAAATTGTTAAAAACACAATCTTTTGTTTTCTATTTTCTCAAATTTTTGATATGGAGTTTCTTATCCTTTTTCTTCATGAAAAAATTATATTTTAAGGGCCTAAAAGCTTTAGCCTCAAATATGTCAAAATCTTGAACACTTTTTCATTACCATTATAACCCTTCCATCATCGCCTCTAAGGGACATCAATTAAGTTGCCGCCTCATAAAAATCTTATAAACCCCATATCATAAGTATTTTAATATTGTGTAATGGAGAAAATCATAGAAACTTAAGGGTAATTTAATAAAATTGATATTATACCAAATATTTTATAGGAAGCAAAGTGTTAAGTAGTAAAGAATTCATTGACTTGGGGTGCGATATAAATGAGAATGTTATGTTGGATATTTGAAAAAAGTGGGAAATTGACAAATGATTATGGGGCTATTTATTTTGATATACTATGAGTATAGAGTAAACCAAATATGGGGGTTTTGAATTTTTTATATCTAATTGGAAAAGAAATGAATCCAACATAATTTGTTGATGGATTTGTAACTCCCTCATATTTTATTTTTGGTGTATTCAAAATTCACATGAGTAATGAAAATTTGAAAAACATTACCCGTAAGAAAGCATTAATAACCTCCTTGCACGTGAAGAATCATTCACACTGCACTCGTCATATGATTTCGTAGGATCTAATAGAAGGATTAAAATCCTATATTTTAATAACTCAATCATCAAGAAAGATAATCAGAGATACTAAAAGTTCAAATAATAAAATAAACATCTTTCATTTCATTTAAAAAAAAATCACATACACGATAATTCAAGTTGAGAATTTTTATACATCAAAATAGGAAACAATAATTTTATTCATTCATTCCATAAGTCTTTCATTACAATAGGAGAGGTATTATACTACTTTTTTTTTTTTTACTGCTTGGGTAGACCAAGTGTTCAACATAGAACCAATCTACCTAAAACAAGGAAAACCAATATTAGACTAATGCATTACATATTTATAGACTAATTGCTATTGTATAACATCTTGCCTCTATCCTTAATCTACTCCGTTGTGCATTTTCCTTTCCCTGAAATATCAAAAAGAATAGAATGAGTACACCAGCCAAGTAGACTTTTTTCCTGACATCACATATATTAATATCCAAATTAAACTTGGAAAATTCAATATAATTAAAAATGTTAAATAATAAAAGAAGTACTAATATAAAACAATTTTTTGGATTTTCAGTGTATACTTAAAGTTGTCACTTATACTTGTAAATCCACTTTCATAGAAGTTCTCAAATACACCATTTAATACTAGCTATTAGAGGTTCATTTGTACTTGACTTTCATATTTCGTCAGGGTTTGTACATAAATTCAAAAATTTTTAACATTCAATTCAGAATATTATTTATACTTAATTCATTAATACATATGCAATGCAATGATTATAATGCACATGTCATGATGCCTACTTATAACTCCACTTTCACTTATGTCTCCATTTGACCTCCAACACCTATATATAGCTAGTGAGGCCAGAAGCAGAACATAATAGTGTCACATAACCTCTCACCCCAGCTTTCAATAAGTGGGGCTAGAATCCCTCCCACATTCACACTAAACAAATTGTGTCAGAACATAACATCTAGAACCCTTATAACATATTAGAGAGTGGGCTTTTTCACATGTCACAACATCTCCAATATCATGTCATGAATAATATAAATGTAAATGCAACGTAATTAAATTATGAATTCAATGTAATATTCAGATAATGCATTAATTGTCAGTAAAAGCCACATTGCATATATAACATTATACTCACTAAACCTTTTATGTTAAATTTTCAACTTAGAGGGATATTCACATGGGCATTTTAAGACTTTTATATAACTATTGCAATTGTTAGAAAAGCCTCAATCAAATCATATATTCATAAATTTGCATAAAAAAATCAACCAATGAAAATATTATTTCTTATTTCCAAAACATTTAGAATAAAATGTACAATAACATATTATAAGTTATGCAATGAAAATGTCATAGAATTCAAGAAAAATATGTTTTTTATTTCATAACATTTTATAAAATTGTTGTAATTGAAATCATAGATAGGAGTTCAGAAGTTTATCTTATGCTTTATAATATCTGAACAAGCCCGACGGACAAAACCCAAGCTTTAGCCTCCAAAATGTCTCTCCTCCTCTTCCGCTTCTTCTCTTCTCTTCTCTGGCAATGGTTGTGATGTTCAATATTTGAGCAAAGTCTCTACAAAAACATGAGGGTTTCTTCTTTGGAAAAGCTTGAGAGC